GGAAGGGAGCTAGTAAACCTGTCCTTGTTTGCAGATGACATGATAGTGTACATAGACAACCCCATAGACTCCACTAAAAAACTATTCGACCTAATAAGTGAACTTGGCAAGACAGAGGCATACAGTGTCAATCTGCAGAAATCAAAGTCATTTCGGACAATGAAATACCACAATCAGAAATCAGGTAAAAAAATTCCCTTTTGCTGTACCGAGACAAAAAATGAAGTGCCTAAGAATAAACTTAAGCAAGGAGGTAAAAGACTTGTACTCCGAAAATGACACAACACTGAAGAAGGAAATTAAGGAAGACACATATAAATGGAAGCATATGCCATGCTCATGGATTGGAAGAATTACCATCATTAAAATGTCCATACTACCCAAAGCAATTTGTAGATTCAATGCAATCCCTATTAAAATACCAATGACGTATTTCACAGGTATAGAACAGACATGTCCAAAACGTATAGGGAACCATAAATGACCCTGAATAGGCACAGTGATTTTGAGAATGAAGAACAAAGGGGGAGGGATCCCAAAACCTACCATCAAACTCTATTACAAGGCCACTGTATTCACCACGGTCTTGTACTGGCATAAGAACAGAAACATAGATCAATGGAACAGAATAGGGATTCCTAAAATAAACCGATGTCTCCATGGTTCATTAATATTCATCCAAGGGGGCAGAAGCAGGAAATGGAATAAAAATCGCCTCTTCTGACAACTGGTGTTGGGAGAGCTGGACAGATACAAGCAAAACATTCAAATTCAACCATCAACTTACACGAGACAGAAAAATGAACGCAAGATGCCTAAAAGACTTAAATATAAGTCACGACACCGAACCTGTCCTAGAAGAGAACATAGGCAGGAAACACTAAGATATTCCAGCGGCAATATTTTCAACGATATGTCCCCTAAAGCACAGGACACAAAGGAAAGTATAAAAAGTGCGGCTTCATCAAAATAAGAAGCTTCTGCACGGCTAAAGAAAACTTCAGCAAAATGAAAAGGGAACCAACCGTATGGGAAAATATTTTTACCAATGATACCTCGGTCAAGGGCTTGTTCTCCAAAATGTATGAAGAACTCACACAACTCCACTCCAGGAAGACAAAAAAAAAAAATCCAATTAAAAAGCGGGCAAAGGTCCTGAACAGACACTTTCCTAAGGAGGACATACACGGAGCCTAGAGACATATGAAAGGATGCTCAGCATCACTGGCCATCAGAGAGATGCAAATTAACATCACAATGAGATACCACTTCACACTGGTCAGAAAGCATAAACATATCAACAAACAAATGCTGGCAGGGTGGTGGAGAAAAGGCAACCCTAGTACACTGTTGGTGGGAATGCAGATGGCTGCAGCCACTGTGGAAAACAGTTTGGAATTTCCTCACAAAGCTCACTATGGAACTGCCTTTTGACTCAGCAAGTCCACTGTGGGGATTATACCCAAAGTATCCCAAAACACCAATTCAAAACAACCTATGCACCCCAATGTTCATAGCCGCACAATTTGCAATAGCCAAGTGCTGGAGGCAACCTGAAAGCCCCTCGATTCACGAGTGAATCAAAAAACTATGGTACATGGACACAACGGAATACTACAGAGCAGAAAGAAAGAAAGAGTAACTACCCTTCGCGACAGCACGGTTGGAACTAAGGGCATCTTGCGAAGCAAAAGAAGCCAGGTGGGAAAAGACAAGTACCATATTATCCCACCGATAACAGGAACCTGTTCAATAAAACAAACAAGCAAGAAAAATACAACCAGAAATATCAAAGGGAAAAAAGAGCAAACAGCGAGAGGCGGGGAGGGGGAAGGGGAGTAACGGGGAAATGAAGGGGAAGGGTCAGGTAGAGGAACATGTATAAAAGACCCACGGACATAGCCAAGGTGGGGAAGGATTGAGGGAGGGAGGTGGGGTGGGTGGGGCTGGGGAAAGTGGGGAAAGTGGTGGTGGGAAAATGGAGACAAATGCATTTGAACAATAAATAAAAAAATGAAGCTCTTCAGAACTAAAAACAGTCCAGTCATACTAGTTGTTGATCAGTCTTAAAAACTCTGCCATTAATTTCTGCTTTGACCATTGACATTTCATGCAATATCAACGATGTTGTTTGTGGGCTTCCCATTTTATTGTTTCTTTCTGTGCGTGTGGACTCTATCACCGGCTCTTCAGGTTTCCTTTTTTTGCCTTCTTTGTGTGTTTTTGGATGATTTTTTCAGTATTCCATTCTAAGTTATCTGCTGGAATTCTAACGGTAACTCTTTGTATGTTGCTTTTGAAGGGACTGTTGTAAGTATTATAATATACACACCTAATTTCTCAGATTCTACACAGACGTAATGTTTCACCTCTGCAAGGACAGCACCTTATACCTGTGTCATCCCTGTTACCTCCACTGCCTTACGCTGCCATTGTTATATGTAGTACGTGTAACCCTGTCTACAAAGCCCAGCAGATACTGAGACTCTATGTTTTCCACAGACATAACGTTTTTATTAAACTGAAGAGGAGGAAAATATGCTACTGCCTTTACTTAGATATTTACTTAGATATCTCTGTTCTTCCTTAATTCTGGAATTTCCACTGGTCCCTTGGGATTTACCTCCAGTCTGCCTGCAGAGCTTGTCGTCTCTTTTGAGCGGGTAGCCTGCTCTGTTGTCCATTCTGTTGCTTCCATTCCTGAAACACATTTCCTGGAGAATTTCAGGGGAACCTGTCTTGTCTTTCAGCACTTTTGACTCCTCTGACCGCACTGGTTTCTGAAAGGGAATCTGTAGTCATTGCACTCATGACCCCTCTACGTTTAATGTGCCATTATTTCTGGATGTTTTCAAGTTTCCCTCATTCATTTGATGATGCTTACGATGCACGTGGGCTTGGCGTTTGAGACTTGTAGTTGAGTTCTTTGGGCAGGAAAATGTAGGGCTTTCAAGACATTTAAGACACGGTCACCTACCATCTTCTTCCAATATGGCGTTTCTTCACTGATATCATTCTCCTTTTGCTAGGTGTTCAGTAAGCTAAGCTCCCTCACAGATCTGAGTTACTCTCTTTTCATGCTAAAAACCTGGAGGGCCTGCACACAGGCTCTTCTGTGGTGCCAGAGAGGGAGCTCCCAGGGAGAGAGGAAGAGCTTTGCTCGGGGAGGAGGGGCCTGAGGAGGAAGAAGTGAGGCAGAGGTTTGAAGAGGGGGGATGAAGGAAAGGGTGGTGCTGCCTTGCAAAAACAGAAATCACTGAAGGGAACTGTTTGGGGAGAGAAAATCCACAGTCCCTGCTGCCTCTGAGAAACGGTGCTCAGTCTCCTCAGCACTTCCCCACGCTGCCCTCGCCCCTGGGGTCATCTTCCCCGTGACAGTGACGACCCCACGGGCTCCTCCAGGCACCTAGACGATGGGGGACAGCCTTCCTCTCTCACTCTCGCACTTATCAGCCCACCAGAGATCCCCACCGGCCCGTCCCCTGAGCCCCTCTGAACGATGTCCCCGATCCATCCCCGGACTCTAGGTGTCCCGTTATCATCAGCCATCAGCGTCCTCCCTGGACCTCCCGTCCAGGCCTCAGGCCTCTCTCCATTCCCTCCTCTCTCCGCCTCCTGGGGACTCTCCCTACAACTGATCTGGTCTGAGCCTGCCTGCACCGCCACCCCCCACCAGTTCCCAGCCTGACACAAGATCCCTGTTGCACCATCTCCTGTTCCAGGGTGTGAAAGTTCAGGCTGGGGCTAATCTCACCAGCCCCGGAAAGCATGACTCCTTCCATAAACAAACTCCCCCCATTGCCACACACCCCACCACCCCAAACCACACGCAGAAACTGAGGCATTAAAAATCTGTGCTTTCCTCAGCTGTTTCCTCAGCCACTGTGAACAGAGGCCCCTCCTCCCCAAATGCCAGACAGAACCAAGACCCTCTTTTCTCCTCCCAGTCAAGTCTAAGTGCAGTGAGCATTATAGGTTTGTGGGAATGACTTGGAATACTCCTCAGCGTGTCGCCCATGGCCCAGGGGAATGTTGGTGTTTTATTACTGATGGAGGTGATATTCAATAGAGCCTGCGTGCATGAGGTTTTCACATAGGGGTAGGCTTTGTGAAACATACATCTGTTTCTACCCTCTGTTGCTTAAAATTTTTCCCACTGTCTCCATGATAAAATCCAAGCCATCTGCACAGTGTCCCTGGTCTTTGTGAACAGGCCACACAGCCTTGGCTTGACAGCTACCCCTTCTGAGAACAGACCGAGATCTTTCTGGTTGAGGACACCCCAGCCCCGCTCCCCTGGACTGACCCCTGCTCATGCCTTGGGTCACCCATCCCCGTGAAGGACCCTCACAGCCAGGACCCAGCTGCATGACGCCCCCTCCCACGGAGCCTCACCGCCTCATTTTCCTTTTCCTCCCGACGCCTACAATCTCACGAGACTGCAACTGAGCCGCCGGCCGTCTCAGTATCTGCACTGTCTGTCTTCACTCATCGGAGGCCCCGTGAGTCCAGGGGAAGAATCTGGCAGCTTCCGCAGTGACTCCGCAGAGCCTGGCACCGTGACCGCACGCGGCCCCTGCTCAGTCAATACTGCCCGACGGCCTGGTCAGGGAGAAAACGGGGGGAAATGGCCGTGACAGAGGCTCAGGAGAGGGACGTGACTTATGCAAGGAACAAAGAGTCTGAAATGGAGTAGCCATTGGGCTGCTCCTCCCCAGCCAGGGTCTCCTACCCTCTTGTTCTGGGACGGCTGTTACTCTCTGGGTTTCAGTGTCACGTGAGCTGGAGGCAGACATGGGGGCTCTGCTGAGACTCACCTCAGGGTGGAAGGTCCAGAGCTAGGTGCCTCCTGGGGCCCATGCTTCAGGGAGGGGAACTTCCCTTCCGGTGGCCGCCGATGAGGAACCTAAGAGATGTCACATGATGCCGGGGCCCTGTACGCCCCATTTGTCACCCTGACTTGCCAGTGAATCTCAAACGTCGTCTGCACACTGGAGACCATGGGAGGAGGCCCCAGGACCCCGACCCTCACGGCCCTCCTCTGCCTGGGTGAGCTGCAGGGAAGAGGAGGCGTGGGGGGCCCTTCCCCTCCCAGGTCTTGGTCCCGAGGGACCCCAGGACTCAGGAGGCTCCCTGCGGACAGAAATGCTTGGGGGAGGAGAGGTGGCTCAGCCCCAGGTTGGACCCCAGTCTCGGGGCCCCGACCTGGCCTGGAGCCTCTGCGTGTGCGTTGAAGGATGATCTCACGGGGACTCCCTTCCAGGGCTGTGTGGGGGCCCCTGGGACCAGGTCCGGGCAGGTGAGTCCTCCCCCTGACCTCCTGCTTCAGCACAATGACCCCTGGGCCGCTGGGGACACACAGTGGGTCTGCAACGATGGTGACCACTCTGGGAAGGGCCTTGGAGTGACAGTTGGGGGAAGTGCGGGGAGAAGGGCACCCCCTGACACCGCGCGTCTGAACCCTTTTCAGAGGCCTTCCCCAGACCCTCCCTCCGGGCCGACCCAGGCACCATGGTCAGCAAGGGCAGCCCTGTGACCCTCTGGTGTCAGGCGTCTCTGCGGGCTGATGCCTACGGTCTGTATAAAGAGAGGGGCTCTGAGCCCCGGCTTACGAGGATCCCACAGGCCTCCAGCAACAAGACCGGGTTCCGCATTCCATCCACGACATCACACGATGCAGGGCTATACGAGTGTGCCTACAGCTTTGGGCGCAACCTGTCTGAGCGCAGTGAGCCCCTCGTCCTGGTGGTGACGGGTAAGGAGGACCCCGGTCCCCTCCCCACTGCGGGCTCCCCCTCAGAGGCTGAAGGGAACAGAGTGGGGCTTTAGGGGGCTGCACCCCTCCCAGCCTGCAGCTGGGGAAGGTGGGGTGTTGCTCACCTTTAACTCACATCCTCCTTCTCCCTCAGGAGTGGACAGCGCCCCCTCCCTCGCAGCCCAGCCAAGCCCGGTGGTGGCCTCAGGGGGGAACGTGTCCCTCGTGTGTACCTCACAGTCCACATCCGGCCCTTTCCACCTGCTGAACGAGGGAGGGGCTCAGCCGCCGTTACGCATGGAACCGGAACAGAGGTCCAACGATGGGAGGTGGCAGGCGGTCTTCCCTGTGGGCCCCGTGAGTGCCTCCCATGGCGGGACCTACAGATGCTATGCTTCTCACAGCTCCTACCCTAATATGTGGTCACACCCCAGTGACCCTCTGCACATCGAAGTCACAGGTGAGGTGACCCACATTTGCTGCAACTTTTTCTGTGCCTTAAATAACTGATCTAAACCCTCTGTTTAATAAAACCCTGGGATCATGGGAGTCAGTGATATTCGTTCCTGGGGACAGAACCACAGGCGGAGACCTGGAGTGGGGCATGTGCGAACTGTCACTGCACCCTCATAGGCGACAGGATGTGTCCCCTCGGTGCCAATGGCCCTTCTTCCCAGGCGTGTACAGGGAGCCTTCCCTCCAGGCCCAGCCAGGCTCCCTGCTGCTGCCTGGGGACAGCCTGACCCTCCGGTGTCACTCGGAGCCCGGCTTTGACAGATTCGCTCTGACCAAGGACGAGGGGCCCACACCCCCTCAGCGTCTCGATGGGCAGCGCAGCCCCGACTTCCCCCTGGGCCCTTTGACCCGCCCCCACGGGGGCCGGTACAGGTGCTACAGCGGACACAGCCTCTCCTATGCATGGTCGGCCCCCAGCACCCCCCTGGACCTCCTGATCGCAGGTGAGGGATCTTCCCCTGTCCCCTGTCCTGACTGTCTGCTCAGGGCTCAGACCTAGGTCACCGTGGCGGTGATTCCGCCCAGGTGAGGGTCCTGGAGCAGAGGCTGAGGGGCTGAGGTCTAGGGGAGGGAGAAAGGGGAGGGAGGAAGCAGAGGGAGGAGCATGGCTATAGAAGACGCCACCCAGGGGGACAGAGAGGAGCTGACAGGGGTCGCCGACAGCGTCCCTGGGGAAGGACATTGTCACTCACCTCAAGGCGCACGGCATTCGAGGCAGTGACCCTCTGCACAGCACCGCCCTCCCTCCGCAGGTGCGGAGAGCAAACCCTCCCTGTCGGCCTGGCCGCCGCCCCCGGGGCCCTGGGGAGCCAACGTGACCCTGCTGTGTCGATCTGAGACCAGAGCTGACACCTTCCACCTGCACAGGGAGGGCTCCCTGGACCCTCCCCTGGAGCTTCGTCTGCAGGACACGGCTGGCCCCTCGGAGGCCACCTTCACCATCAGTCCTGTGACCTCGGGCCACGGTGGGACCTACAGGTGCTACAGCTCCCACAGCGCCTCCCCCTTCCTGCTCTCACAGCCCAGTGACCCCCTGGAGCTCCTGGTCCCAGGTGAGGAGCCCCTGCCCCACCGCCCTCAGTCCCCATAATCAGGTCTGCACTCTGTCCCCCTGGGGAACTGTGTCTGATCAGAAGTGAGCAGGTAAGAGAATTAGGGTCAGCCTGTGGGTCTCTCACCTCCCAGAGGGATGGAAAAGCCAAAGCCCCCCCCACTCCTGCCTCATCCTCATCCTCTTCTCTGAGGCCCACACAGCGAGCAGGTGTCTAGGGAGGCGGGAGAGGCCTTGGGCTGAGCTCAACCAGGAAAGGCCAGAGGCGCCCATCCCCACCCCCTCCTTCTGCAGCGCCCAGGGCTCACCCAGAGACCAGGACCAGCGTGGTGACAAGCAGAGGCCTTGCTCCCAGAAAAAAACAGGATCACCCGCCCTGGCTCACTAGTCTCTCCAGGGGCACTGGGGTCGGGAAGAGAACCTGGGGGCATCATGGGACCCCCCAGGGCTGTGAGGCTGACAGGGGACAGGTGGGGTTGTCGTGGCAGGGAGAGGTGCTGTGGTCCCTCCCAGGTGACAGGCAGCCAGGCTCACGTGTGTGGGAAGAGACTGAAGAGTGTGAGGGGCCAATATTAGAGGAAAGTACATGGACCAGAGGCAGAAGCCGGCACAGCTCTGTGGCGGACCCCATTCCCCAGAGTGTCCGAACTCGCTGAGGATGAAATGACAAGTCTTTCCAGACACCATTGCCTCACAGAAGGGGGTGTCGATTCCCTCCCGTGGGGAATGGATGCTCTGAGTCCTCCTCTGAATTGACTTTTATTGAGAGTGATATGTGCAGGGCTACACAGCGTACATGCAAATCTTATCAATCCACATCAGAGAACTATAGGTAACAGTAAGAGGAATACATAGATGAGACTTGGGTTAGGGCCTGATAGACACACTCACATCAGAGCGTCATTACGCCAAGGTTCCGGGACTCAGGAACCTTCTCCCCGGCTCTGAGAGTAATCACTTGTTTTCCTTACCAGGCAGTCCAAAGCAGAGCCAGCTGAAGTAAATATGATGCATTCTAAGCCACATCATCCCCGACATCCTCAGTGCGATGTCTATCTGGTGCAGACTTACAGGCCCTCGTTCAAGGCCTGGCTCGTGTGGGACTACAGTGCGCGGGACCACACAAAGTGGCCCCCAACACAGCCCCACATCCTCCTCTGGGTCCTGTTTCATGCGGCACTGGAGGTCTGCGGACCTCACCCTCGTGGGCAAACTCCCTCTCTCTCGGCTACCAGAGTCTCCTTGGCCTAGAGGAGACACAGTCTCCACCAGGCCTCTGCTAGTTTATACTTCAACTCATCAAACACTTACAAAAGGAATTGTTTCCTCACGTCCTGGGGGTAAAGGTGGAGACTTAAGGAAGGGTCCCCGTGTTCAAGGAGCAGTGCGGTCCCGGGGCCTGTGTGGTCAGCGCAGAACAAATGCATGGAAGGGAGGCTGGGCAGCGCAGGGGGAGAAGGAGCAGGCGCCTCGCCTGCCTCTGTCCGTGGTGCTGAATCAGGGCCCTGCGTCTTCCAGGCCCCTGTGCAACCAGGCCCACGTGGGAGATGGAGCCAGGGGGGTCCCTCAGTTACGGGTCATGGTGAGTGGGGGTCTGCTGACAGTCTAAGGTGAAGCGGAGCCGGCTCAGCCCCCGGAAGTGAGTCCCAAAGACAAAATCGTATCTGTGTCTGGGATTTCATTCTCTCATCTGTCAAAGCAGAATGCACTCAAAGATTTCAAATAGTTTAATTAGTTTAGCACTTTGCGGTCAGTGAATCCCTGTAGGAGAAGGAACATGAGTCCACTGAGTGCTTGTCTTGTCTCCACACGGACCACTCTCGTTATGAGGGTGTGGAGAGACGGCGGGATTCCCACTCAGCTCCCATGAGCCGCAGGGCCCGGCTGGGTCAGGGCGACCTCCAGAGCCGCCCCCATCAGAGCTCCTGTCAGCGCCCCTCCCCCCTCAGGGTGCCCAGGGGTTTCCCAGGATTTCCTGTCTCAGCTTACCACCAAATATCTACAACAGGACATATCTGTATTTTTGTCCATGTGTTTGCTTCAACAGTTGATTCTATTATTTCTAGTCTGCTTGTTTCTTAACAATCTTGCTATCTAGGATACAACCTCAATAAATAACTAGGCCTGGTAATTGTGGTGATCCTGGATCCCGGAAAGACTGCACGGTGTATGGTATACTTTCCACCATTATATCCTAATGAAGAGATTGATATGCAGAAGAAATAAAGTGATGTCAAAATATGTAACCCTAATTCAGAGACATAGATACTAGCTGCAGTGGAAGAACTAAAAGACAGACCCAGTGCTTCAGTCCTTCATGTTCCTCTTCTCAAGAAAAATTAAAGAGTCAGTTTGTCCCCTTAATATTCTAAGTAGATGCAGCCAAGATGCCAAACATGCTCATCTCAAGGAAAGTGACAGGCTTCACTAGAAACAGGGACTCCCTGCAGGTCAGAGAAGACACGACGTGGCATTCCCACATCTCCTCTCCCACAGCCTGCGTGTGACTGATTCTCAGGAACAGTTCTCAACTGGGACCATCACAGAATCAGTCAGACTGCAAGAGTGGAGAGTGAGGCGTAATTCTCAGTTACAGGACGAAGGGCAAACCGTCAAGTCTACATAATTGAACTCGGGTGACGTGGACAGACATCCAGGGAAGCTAGGGCGATTGTGCGTTACCCTGACCTCTGTGCCCTCTTTTTCCTCAATCTTCAGACTCAACCGCCCACGACTACACAGTGGGGAACGCCGTCCGGTTGGGTGTGTCTGGCCTGATCCTCCTGGTCCTCGGGGGGCTGCTGTTTGAGGTTTGGCACAGCCAGAGAAGACCCCACGACGCACCCAGGAGGTGAGCACAGGAGACAACGAACCCACCCTCCAGGAAGGCAGACGCTGGGAAAGAGTCTGATGATGCCCAGAAGCCCTGGAAGAAAACGTGGGCAAGCGTGGGAAAGTGTGTGCAGAGGACGTGGGGGCTGTGGGCGTGGTTCGCGTGCAGGGAGGGGGTGAGGCTGGGGCTGCAGAGGCTCTTCCACAGTTAAACTGCGGTCGCCTCCGTTCCCGCCTCTGCTGGGTTTCCTGAACTGGCCCCTCTTCCCTCACCCCCATGACCGCGGGCCACATCCCCTCGCAGGTCAGACCCACACCTGTACTGACCCTCAGTCTCTGGTGCACGTTCATGGAAGATGTTTTTCTCGCTTTTATTTTCCAATTTACTGACTGTGCATGTCTGTGGATCAGACCACAAATCTGTTTTAAAACAACCGATTAAACAGATAAAAACTAAGAATAGTCTGGACTCAGAGAAACAGACAAGGCGTGGTGGTTACCAGAACACGAGAGGGTGAAGAGAGTGAAATACATGCTGAGGGCAGATTTGCCTTTAAAGGGGAACACGATGTGACATATAGATGGTGTATCAGAACTGTGCAGTAGGAACCTCCGTACAGTTTCAAGATTGCATTTTCTATTTTTTAGAGAGGGGAAGGGAGGGACAGAGGAAGAGAAACAGCGACGAGCCACAGAATCATAGATGTGCTGCCTCTCGCAGGCCCTCTGCCGCCCGTGGCCCGGACACTGGCCCGCAGCACAGCCGTGGGCCCGGACCAGGGACGGATCAGGGGACCCTTGGCTGCACAGGCTGGTCTTCGACCCGCTGAGCCACACCAGCCAGGGCTGAAACCTATGCAATTTTAGTCACTAATGTCACCCAAATACATTTAATATTAAGGGACAAGTGTGGAACAAATAAATCCAAAATCACGGAGAAACACAGGCCTGTCCCGACAGGCAGTGCTCTGTGCCTCAGACACTGTGCTCGTGAGCTTCCCCCAGACACGCCAGGTTTCTGCAGGTGGGGAGAGGACATCGGTCTTTGAAATGACAGTCCCGTGGTGTGTTTGAGAACCAGCTCCAGAGGCATCGCTTCTTCCTAAAGCCCTAATTTCTGGCACTTGCCTGATTCCTGGAAAGAGATGATTCTTCAGGGGGCAAGAGCCGCCCACCTCCCCTCCGTCCCCAGTGCCGCTGTGCCTCCTCCAGCCTCACGGAGTCCCAGCTGCTCACCCTGTCGGGCTGGTTAGCAGCGGTGACCGGCACTGCTGACTTTGCCCTTAGGTGCCCAGGGCCGGCTCTTTAGGTTCAGGGAGCGCTGCTGCTCACCCAGCCGAGAGCACGGGCCCCGCTAGACCCTGCGTGTATCCTGCGTGTCTCGCCTGGTCCCGAAGCCACAGCCTCGCATATGGTGCTCCCTCCTACATCCTGGGCAAACTGCGTGGGGGGCACCGGTGTCCCGAAGAGGCACCCGCCATCCTCCTCGTCCCCACTGCCCTGGTGCCTGTCCTCCCGAACCTGGTCCTGTCCCTATACATGCCACTATGCCACCTAGAGCCACCTCTGCCAGTTCCGGGCTGCGCCAAAGTTCCCACTAGCCCTGGCCCCTCCCGTGTGCCTGCAAACTCACACAGGGGAGCGCCCTGTGCCTGTGACACGCCCGCCCACGACAGGAAGTGTGCGCGGGGACCAGCTGCCAAGCTGCCTGTCACCTCCCGACCTACACGGGGCAGAAGCACCTCCTCTGCTCCTTCTGCTCCAAACCCTTCAGCGGCAGCCACCCACTGTCCAAGCTCGTGCGATGCCACCCCAGTCTCCACCTTAACTGCTCCGGAGCCCGGGGGTTGAGCATCTCAGGCAGGAACTTGCTGCCCGCAGCCCGGCTGGAGCCACAACTACAGCCCAATCCTCCACTCAGAGGCAGGCACCCACACGGACCTCGCATCGCATGGAGCATAAGCAACCAGAGAGTAGTCCCCGCCGCCTTCAGCGAACCCATGAGGACCCTATGATGCCTCTGATCCCCCCAAGAGAGCCAGGAGGAGGCCTGAGGCTGGACTGCGGTCAGCTGGACCTTGGAGATGGCTGTGCAGCATGAGAGGCTTGGGCCTGTGTCTGATAAGCCATTACTGTTTTTAAAAAAATTTCAGTAAGAGAGATAGTTTACCAACAAATGGCCAGATCCATGAAAGGGTGAGGACAAGACATAAAACTTGAGAACCCTGCCACCAGAGGGGGCCGGAAGCACCAAGCCGGTGCATCCAGACCAGGTCCGTGAGCCCCAGCAGAGGGGCAGGACCAACAGGAAGGATCTCTCACCTCACGCCGCTGGTGAAGCTGGAAGGAAGGAGGGGACTGCGATGTCTAATACAAAACACACTGAGAGGGGATTGTAACACCCCACTCTCAACAGTGCCTAGATCTTCCAAGTGAAATATCAACAAGGAAATTGTGGAACTGAATGATGCATTGGATTAAATGGACTTGAATTGATATACATACAACCTTTCATCCTAAAGAAGCAAAATACACATTCTTTTCTAATGCACATGGAACTGTTTGAAAAACACACCACATGGCAGGACACAAAGCAAGCCTCAGCAAATTCAGGAAAATTAAAATCATAACCAGCATGTTCTCAGGTCGCAAAGGCTTGAAACTAGAAACCAACACAAGGAAAAAACTCAGAAACATTGAAGCTCCGGGAGACTGAATAGCATGCTATTAAACAAGGCTGGGTCCATAATGAGTTCAAAGAAGAAATCAAAAGGTTTCTGGAAACAAATGAAAAGGAACACACAACAGCCCCGAACCTATTTGGACATGGCGAAACCATCCTGAGAGGGAAATTCCTAGCAATACAGGCCTACCTAAAAAAAGATAGAAACATTTCAGAGAAAGGACCTAACCCTACAGCTTCAAGACCTGGAGAAACACCAAACAAAGCCCAGAGCAAGTAGAAGGAAGCAACTAATCCGGATCAGAGCAGAAGTGAGTGACATTGAGACGAAAAGAACAATTCAAAAGATCAATAATTCCAGGGCCAGTTCTCTGAAAAGAACAACATTGACAAGGCTTTATGCACACATCAAGAAAAACAGGGAGGGGGCCCCCCCCCAAATAATGTCAGAAATGAAAGAGGACAAATTACAACTGATACCACAGAAATATTAAGGAGAGTAAGAAATTACTATGAACAATTATATGCCAACAAACTGGAAGACCTCGGGGAAATGGACAAACTTCTAGAAAAATATAACATTCCAGCAGTGAATGAAGAAGAAGCAGAAAGCCCGAACTGACCAAAAACAGCTGGTGAAATGGAGGCAATGATCAAAAAACTCCCAGCACACAGAACCCCGGAGTGGAAAGTTTTGCAGGAGAATTTTACACAATCTTTAAGGAAGAGCTAACCATGGTCCTTTTCAGAGTATTCCAAAAAACCCAAGAAGAGGGAAAGCTCCCAAATGCTTTTGATGAGGCCAGCATCATCCTGATCCCAAATCCAGATAAAGACACAACGAGGAAAGAAAACTACAGGCCAGTATCACTGATGAACACAGACGCTAAAATCCTCAAAAGAGAGGAGAATCAAGACGGCGAAGAAGTAAGTGGAAGTCACAGTGACCTCCTCCCAGGACCAAACTGGAATTATAACTAAATTGTGGAGTAATCACGTGGAACAAACAACTGAATAATAATAGCAAGAGAGGAGCCTTAAAACCTTGGAGACAGAAGAATCGGTGCAATCTCGCTGGTCAGGAGGAGTGCGGTAGAGACTCGAGAAGGCGAGCGGGGCACCCACGGGCAGCTGCACCGGAAGGATATTGAAAGGGCCAGTTGGATTTCCCAGAGAAGAGTGGGGTCTAAACTAAAAGCGGGGATCTCGAGCCTACAGCACCAGAGCCCAAAAGGTACACATATCACAGCCAGCTGTGAAAAGTGGCCGTGTTCCTCTCTGCCAGAGATAAGCGGCTGGAGACACTAAGAGCTGTTTAAAGGACCAACGCATAAATTTTTACTTGCAGCACTTACCCTGGTCTGTGGCAAGGGTGGGGTAGAGTGGGTTGGAGACGCCTGAGGAGACACTAGGGAAGGAGGTTTTGGGGAGAGAATGGAGAGAGGCACCGGTGGGATCCCAGTGCTGACTCACTCCCCATGCGGAAGCAGCCATCTTGCTCAGGCAGACACCACGCCCCCTGAGCAGCAGCAGCCTCAGGAAACCCATTGCCCTGCCCCCATGTGGGATCCCACCCTGCCTGTGCTGTCTAAGATGCGTGCTGAGTACAGAGTGGCAGCCACACATAGTAGATCCCTGACTAAAAGGGGTACAGAGTGGTCTGGAGACGCTTTAGAAGAGACTGGGTATAGACGCTTCGGGGAGAGAATGGAGAGAGTACCTGGAGGGATCCAAGTGCTGACTCCTACCCATAGGGCAGCAGCCATCTGGCTCAGGCAGAGACCGCTCCCTTGACCGGCAGAACGTGAGAGGACCCAATAACCCCGCCCCCAGCAGGGACTCTGCCCCACACCGAGCTGTCTAAGGCGGCCTGCTGAGGGCAGAGTGACTTGATTAACAGCTGAAGGAGACAGCCACAGACAGCAGATTCCTGCACGTCTCCAACAGACTGCCTAAGGTCAGACAGGGTCAACCTCTGACATCACCAGAGGCAATTCCCAAAGTAAAATTAGAAGTCTCCTATCATAGAAGCTCACACCACAAAGTCAGGAAAGCAAGACAGATCCATTGAAGAAGCAGAAGCAAAAAAGAAGAGCCTCACAAAAAAGTGGGAAAACAAAGAAATACCCAGCACTCAAAGGGAAAGGAGGAATCCCCAGAAGAGAGAACTACATGAAATAGAGGCAAGTCAACTCTCAGATACTGAGTTCCAAACAGCAATTCAACAGAAGCTCAATGACCTCAGTGAGCTGAGAGAGAATTACAGAAAACCACAGAGAAAATACGAGGAACTTACTGCAAACAATATCAGCATGAAAAAGGACAGAGGACCTCTCAGCAAGAGGCAGGAGGTAATGAAGAACACAATTTCTGGATTGAGGAACACAGGGGAAGGAATCCAAAGCGGGCTAGATGGAGAAGAGGATCGAATCAGCGAGCTGCAGGACA